GTGAGAGAGGAGGGGGGGGGGGGGGGGGGGCAGTATGTGTGCAGGGAATGCTTTTTCCCTAATCAAAACGACTTCTCATTTGATGGGTAAAACCCTTAACAACAGTGAAACTCTCCTATGCTTTTTTAAAATAGGTATTAAACAGCCTTGAAAAGCAAAGGCATAATGCATCCATGGGCTTCTGAATTAATCTCACTAACAATAATCCATGTATCAAGGTATTGTTAAAGCACCCCTCTCAGATGAGGATGTATACTGCCAGTTCATTTCTGTAAAAAACATGGGGAAGCATCCCATGCTTCAATCATTTCACCCAAATCATCCTGGATCCAAAGTTCCTGAGAGTCACAAGCAATTTTTCATCAATACAGCTATTACTTTCAAAGGGTTCTCATAAGTGCCTATTATAGGATCTTAATAAATGCATGTGAATATCCAGCCAAAACTACATCTTAATACACTCTTCAAGTTCTCAAGAAATAAAACAATTACTGGTACAAAAGGAATCCTGAGCGCCATCTCTTTCAGTTATTCAGAAAAAGCACTAGTCAGGTCCTCCAGTAACTACGTATTTTAATCCAACATTTTCTAAAGCTTTTGGATAATCAAGACCACAGCACACCTAGGCTATTAATAACTAAAGGGGAAACAAAGTTCATTTGTACACTGATCTGATTACTACTTTTAGATTAAAATAGAGTAATTAACAAATATTTTAGACTTCTGCTTCCTTAAAGGTAGCTGTCCATTTGGCTACATACCTCAACTACAGAATAACTAAAGATCATCGATTATAATCTGTAAATTTGAGGTACAGTCAGCTTCATGTTGAATCCAAAAAGGTATGCATCTGAATGGCAAGCTCAAAACAATTATTAAAAAAGGAGGGGGAAAAAACCCATATTTGATCTTTATTTCTTTTATTTGGTGACTAAAGGTTTTCTTCCTTTGTATTCCAGGCAACAATACAGGTATCAGTAAAGAATGCTCAAGTAAACAATTATGCATGTCTCTTGAATATCCAGGTCTTCTAGAAAGCAGTTTTAGGATGAATAAGCCAGAGGTATCTCCTTTTTCTGGGTGGGTCACCCAGATCACACCATTCTTGGGTATCACAGAACAGCTGGACATTTGAGGTTGGAAGACACCTCTGGAGATCATCCAATCCAACCCTGCTGCTCAGAGAAGGGTCAACAAAGCAGGTGGCTCAGGGCTCTGGCTGTAGGCCTTTGAATATCTTCAAGGACAGAGACCCCACAGCCTCTCAGAGCAACCTGTTCTAGTGTTTGATCACCTTCACAGGGCAAAAAGTCTCTCATGTCTATCTCAACATCTGTTCATTCACCCATCACACAACAGGTGAGGAGCACAGGGCACACAAACACGGAAGGAAGCTGATCACAGGTCGAATGTGCTGTTTCCATAGACTTCATACAACCTGTGGCCTACAACTCAGCCATGCCTGACTTCAGATTTGGTTTTGATGTTCACCCGTGCCTTCCTTATGGCACACACACTGCCTTTCTGCACTTCTCCCCTGCCTCCTCATCATAAGGATACAAAGTCTTTGGCTTCTCATACAAACGTCTTCAACGCCAAGGCCTTTATAAAACACAACAACTGCACATTGTTTTACCGTACTCTGATCGCCACCTCGGCAGTACTAACGATGACTAGTGAAGCCGGCATGCTTCTATCAGCACACAAGGAACACAAAGGATGCTGGCAACATGGGCACTGCCAGGCAGCTCAGGAACACAAGCGCTTCTGTTGCCAGAAGAATCTGTGACACACATGCTGGCACGACTTCACAAAACATGTTAAAAACAGTAACAAACCACTTCTGTACAGGGCAATGAGAGCACATAACCGGGCTATGCCAAGACATCAAAAGAAAGATCTGGGATACAAGTCATTTTGGAGTGAACACCATACAAATGCAACAGCACTGCGCAAGCTTTGTTTCATTTTTGGTAACCCATGTAGGGTAACCTAATCTAGCCATTACTTCAGAAATTACTTCTGCCCTACTCCTTTCTGTGTTCCTTTCAAAGTGAAGCAGAAGTGGTCTTCACTGTTCTACTATTGAAAGTGCTTGACAACTCTTATAGATTTGTTTCTGAAGAAACAGAAGGGTCCATTTTATCCTTAGGACTGCCTGAAAACGTTCCCTACCCAGACCTAACCTTTTTGTTTCAGGTTCTAGAGGCTCCAACAAGTGCTCCAAAAAAAACATAAGGGAGATTCTTTTTCCACTTTTTATATCCTCCTGAGGAAAAAGACAAGATTATGTATTT